GACAGTTCAAAAATAGTTTTCTAATTATAGATAATTTGAATTTTCCCTGAAATATTCAGAGTGTTCTGAGTGACCTAAATAAAGGATTAAGATTATATTTTCTTCTGCATCTAAGTGTTATCATAATAGCTTTCTGTCTCATTCAGATCCCTGTGTAGCTTTCACAATGCTACTTAAAGATCTTCACCCAGGAGAGAGAGTATGGTGAAGTTTCAGTGATGTACTTAAAAAGCATTACAAACAAAGTCTGTTAGAATAGACAAGAAGTTGCTCAGAAAAGTGTCCTTTTTGCCAAGATTTTAGTAACTAAAAATGTACATCAAAAAGATAGGAACTATTTCGGACTTTATAACTGTTTACCTAGAAATCTCCAAGAGAATAAACCATATAACTAGTTCAGGATTTCAGTGAGGTGGTTGCTGTTGTTGTGTGTTGTTGAGTGGGACCCAACTCATAGCGACCCCTCCTTGGGTTTCTGAGGCAGTATCACTACGGAAGTAGGATTCCGTATTACAGTAACAGCAATTGCATGCAGTACTTTGGGGCTTAAACAAATTAAGGATTTGTTCTCATGTAAAAGAAATCATCACGGACTCACAATCCTTCTTTCTTTCTATTCCGTCATTCTTAGTATATCTTAGTATATTGCTTCTGTCCTCCTTATCATAAGATACTATTGGGGGACTCTGACTCCAGTCATCACATCCTAGTTCCAGGCCAAAAGGACAAGAGCAAAGAGCAAAAGGGCACCCCTCCCAACTCAGTCAGTGCTCTTCAAGTTTTCCTAGAAGCCTAATCAATGACATTGGCCACCCCTATCTGCAAAGAAGCCTGGAAATCTATCAGACATTGTTTCTAGGTGAAGAGGCTTGATATGTGTTGTCTACAAATTATTCTTTAAATTTAACATAGTCTCATTTAAATTTTCCACGTGATATTTGTGAGCTTGATAAAACAGTTCTAAAGTTCACCTGAAGTTTTCCACATGCCATAAAACTACCACAGGTGGCTGAGAATAGGCAAACAGACTAATGGAACAGAAAAGATATGTATATGTGTAGAACTGACTATACAATAAAGGGGGGGATATTTCAAACCGTAAAGAAAGTATGGACTGTTTTTGACCTTACTTTATCCAGTGTAACAGCTAAAAGCCACAACTTTCTGTTGATAAAATCCCAGTTCCCTGGGAGCACTACCACATTTCAAGTACTCAGAAGCGATAGATAGTGAGTTGCTACTGCCGGGACTATGCAAATAATAGAACAGTTTCATCATTGGTCTATTGGGCAGCACCACTCTAGATGGTGAGTGGACACCTCCTTAGGAAAAAAGTTAGAGCCCTAACTCTAGACCTTAGTATTTTTTCAAAACCTCCGAGCTAATTTTAAGTCCCGGCAGGATTGCAGACCACTGATCAGATGATGGTCAGTGTGCAGTCACAAAGATTTACTAAAATATTTGGGTTTTTTTCCCCCAAAAGTAGTATTCTTGGGCTCCACCATTTGTGATTATTACTGCCATCAAATTGATTCCAAATCATAGTGATTTTATAGGACAAAGTAGAACTGCCCCATAGAATTTCCAAGGCTTTAAGTCTTTACAGAAGCAGACTGCCTCATCTTTTTCCCAGAGTGGCTTGTGGGTTCAAGCTGCCAACCTTTTAGTTAGCAGCCAAATGCTTTAACCACTGCACCACCAGAGCTGCTTTGGTGAACCATACCAAAACCAAAACAAACCCCCTGCCATTGAGTGGATTCTGACTCATAGCAACCCCGATTGGGGTTCCAAGGCTGTATCTTTATGGAAGTAGATTGCCTCACCTTACTCCTGAGGAGCAGCAGATGGGTTTGAACCGCTGACCTGGTTAGTGGCCAAATGCCTTAGCCATTATGCTACCAGAGCTCCTTTGGTAAACCATGGATCTATGTAATTTATCTTGAAATAGTCTATGGAGATCATCAAATGCTTACATGTGAAGTCAACAGAAAGTAGCATTTGGTAGGTTTTATTTTAATCCCGTAGTGTTGGTAAAACCTGAGCGGATTAAAAGATCACTATCTACCTGTTTAAGGAGCCCTGGTAGCATAGTGCCTAAGGCATTTGCTAACCAGAAGGCTGTGTGGGGGAGGTTCAAACGCACCAGCCGCTCCCTGGAAGGAAGAGGGGGAATCTAGTTCCGTAGAGATACTGCAGTCTGTTTTACTCGGAAACCCAATGAGAGGTTCACTGAGTCGGATGCAACTCGATGGCAGTGAGTTTGGCTTTTTGGTTTATCTACCTGTTTAAGCAGTGTTTTAAGAAGTCCTGTGATTATGTTAGACCTTAAGCATAGTGCCTAAGGCACTTGACTGCTAACCAAAAGGCTGGTGGTTCAAACCCACCAGCCACTCCTCGGAAGGAAGACTGAGCAATCTACTTCCGTAGTGATACTGCCTTGGCAACCCAAGGATGGGTTGCTGTGAGTCGGGGCTGACTCAGTGACACATAACAACAACAACAACAACAACTATTCTGAAGGAGCACAGTGTTAAGTGACTTTCCCCCAAGAACATTCTTTAAAGATAGGAATTTTGCTAGGAGACATCCATGTGTCCGAATACGTGTGCCATATTCCTCAGCCCCTGAGATATACCATGAGGGAGCCTGGGAAAATTACTCTGCGTACACAACTTGAAATGAATACTTCATCCCCAAAAATGGAACCATTCTAATGAGGAGACCAATGACTTGAAGTAAGGCCTGAGGGAGTGTTATCTGTTGCAGTATCCATAGTCCTCTAAGTCACAAGTTTAAGAGACTCTCTTTCCTGGAAAACTGTAGCACAGGAAATAAGTGTTTGTTTCTGGTCTCTTGGTAGAGACACCAGCAGGGTCCTCCCAAGTCTTACATGCTCACCTTCATGGTGATGTCCCTGTAGTTCCAGTGTCCTGCTAGAACTCCACATGTCACTATCACTAGTAGATCTTGATATACATGCATATTTGCCTCCCAAGAAGATAACATGAAACAAAAAAAAAAAAACCTAAGGACTTGCTATGGGCTCTGTTCAGTTCTAGAGGCTGAAATACTGCTTGCTTCCCATCCTTTAGGAATTCCAGGCAATGGGTTCTCAAGAAATGGTATTGGCTGACTAACTGTTAAAGTATTTATCATTCTAAACTCTAAGTGCTTTTTACTAATTGATCTAATTATTTATTCCCTAGGGACACTCCAGCTATATCACACACCTTGACTGGTCCCCAGACAACAAGTATATAATGTCCAACTCGGGGGACTATGAGATCCTGTACTGTGAGTATGAAAGATGATGCATGGCTCAGAATTGCCAGGGCTGAGGAACAGGCTGCGGGGCGTTTGACTTGTGCAGAAAATGCATGCTGGACTCTAACCTGACAAAGCAGAAGCTACTCCAAGCCAAGGAATGAGAATCTCAAATGTGATTCACTTCTCCAAGAAAGTAATGAAGTAATTTAATGGTATAGAACTGAAGGCACATATAGCAGTAAGAAACTACTTGTTGAGGTTGATGCTGAATGGTTTTGTATTTAACTTTCCTAGAGGCAGGGAGGAGTATAATGGATGGGCATTTATGCTTTTTAGAAGGGAAGAAAAACAACTGCGATAGGAAACAATCTGTCATTCTGTTAAGTCCTGTTTAAAAGCAAGCACTTTTTTTTTCCTTTTTAAATGTCTCTTAATGTTTTTCAGTGTATGGGTTATAAATACAAGTAAATGTGGCTAGTTTGAATTGAGATGCACTTTCAAATACGTTTGTACACAATCACTGTGATTATACTTCCTGTTTTTAAATTTAAAGGGGACATTCCAAGTGGCTGCAAGCTAATCAGGAATCGGTCAGATTGTAAGGACATCGACTGGACAACATACACTTGTGTATTAGGCTTTCACGTCTTTGGTAAGCACATGACACCTGATGTGATGATGCACTTTGAGATTTTTATACAGTATTTACTTAGCTGGATTTTTAAATGAAAAATACTCTGCATGTGTTCTTTAGTGTTACCACTATTAATGCCAGATTGAGAGAAATTAAATATATTAAGAATGAGCCAATGTGGAATTTATTCTCTCCAGAAGCCAACAGACTTTTGGTCCCTAGTAAATATAATAGATAAAAAAAAGGAAAGGAATTTACATAATAGTACAGATTGCTAACACTGATCCTTCCAGTTTTTTCCTCTGAAAATTGAAGCTTTTAAACTTACAAGGGTATTTTAAAAATAACAACTTTATTGAATTGGTTCCATATACCATAAAATTCACCCTTTTAAAGTATACAGTTTAGTGGTTTTAGTACATTCACAGAGTTGGGCAACCATCACCATTGTCTAATTTCAGAATATTTCATCACCCCCGCACCAACAGTCTACTTTCTGTCTCTATGGAATCGATTATTCTGGACAGTTCATTTAAATGAAATCATAAAATATGTGATGTTTTATGTAGCATGATGTTTTCACAGTTCGTCCACGTTGTAGTATGTATCAGAACTTCATTTTGCTTTATGGCTCATTAGTATCCTGTTGTATGTATATACCACATTTTGTTTATCCATTCATATGCTAATGGACATTCAGCTTGTTTTCACCTTTTGGCTATATGAAAAGTTCTGCAGTTAACATTGGTGTACCAGGTTTCTGTCGGCTTTCCTGCTTTCTGTTCTTGTGAGCCTATACCTAGCAGTAGAAGTGCTGGATCAATATGGTAGTTGAACTTGTTGAGCAATCACCAAACTCATGTTTTCAGTGTCATACCTAAGAATCCATTGTTAAAAACTAAGTCCCAAGGCAATACCCCTGTTTTCTTTTGAGAGTTTTATGATTTTACCAGGTTTGCTGATCTGATAGAGCCTGGTGGAACCACTGAGACTGGATAATGTTATGTGTGTCAACTTGGCTGGGCCTGGTTGAGTGGCTGATGATGGTTATTCCCCATGATGAGACTGGCAATCAGCTCCATGGTGGGATCTACCACAAGCAGCTGAGTAGCTACCTTTGGGATGTGGTCTGCTTCCTATATTTAAGGAGAAGCCTTGGGAATGGTCTCTAGCCTATGGCACGCTTGGACCCTGCATGTAGCCCTGTCGTTGCTCAGTAGCCTGCTACGCTCTGCCGACCTTGGGACTTAGAATGGACTTAAGTTAATGGCCTGCCATGTGGTTTGGTAACATCGGGATTGTGCTTTTTTACTTGTCAATCTTGGGGCTTCTCAGCCTCAGCAGCCAGTAGCTGTCTGAGTGAAGAAACGCCTCTAGCTCCAGTAGGC